TGGAATCCTTTGCTTGGGCAGGAACTCTTCCTCTCGGGTTGGTTTGCATACAGGATTAAATTGCTTTGGGATTCTTCTTCTCAACTTCTTCTGATGTTTGTCTTTTTTTTTGCCGCAACATAAATGCCTAAAAAGACTCTCCAATCATATTTAAAGGATAAAAAGTCACAAGTGAGGAGGATTCCTCACGTCTCAAGGAGTCCTGAAGGAGCAGGCTCCTTGCATTGCTCGCACATGTGAGATAGGACATTCACATGCACGGATGCCTTGCCCGTGGATTGCCCATGAAGTTTGGGCCTTTTCTTTCAATTTCTTGGCCTCTAAAATCAATTCTTCACTTATTCACTCTTGGGCCAAAATATTAAAAGTTTATTCAAGTTTCTTAACTCGGTTTCTTGTGACTATTCTAAAGGCATTAGATCCGCTTTCATAAATCTCTAAGCCCATCTTCTTGAATGATTTTGGGTTGTTCGTGAACTTGAGACAGATTAGGAAATAAAAAGGGTGGGAGTAGGATTACCCTTTTCCACAAGAAAAGCCCCCCAACCTTTGGGAATTTTCCTAGATTTTGCTACTTTTGTGTGTGTGTGCACTGTCTGCATGCGTGTTTCTGCCTTGCGCATGTAGAAGTTCATGTGGGCTACTTCCACCCGCACAGGGTTCTCCTGCCATGTGTATCTTGCGAGCAACTTTGCAAGAATGGGCTTGCTCGCGAGCTTGCTCTTCTTAGGTGTCCAGGAAATGTCTTCTTGTGTTTAGGATCACATCATCATCATCAAAATGAATATTCTCACTAAGAGAGGCTTATTTCAAATTATGTATAAATCTTTATAGTTTACTAACTTTATTGGCTACAGTTCGATTTAAAACCCTCAAATTATATCATAACACCTTTTTTTCAATGTTTCCTTGCTCCTCATTAAATCTAGACGAATCTTAATTTAATCTTTAGTGAATCTTGACAAGGATCTTCATTGATCCTCTACAAGTCTTTATTATAAGCTAAAATTGCTTAATGAAATTAAATAATCATAAAGATGGAAAATATTATTAAGTTTTAATTAAATAGAATTGGGCGTATAGAAGCTTGTGATCTAATATAATAACAAAGAGTTTAATTAGTTAGATTTGGACATTAGTTAGACCTAGGGCAATTTAAATTATTCATATAATGAGTTAATAGTTAAATACTTATGTTGGATTTACTAAGTCTTGCATATTTATAGGAGATTTGATTAAATTAAAGGACAAATGAATTTGTATAAGGACTTAATTAGTAAGTCCAATAACTTAGTCAAAGTAGAATTTTGATTAATTGAATTATTGGTTATTTAATTAACTAGACAGGTCCTAATGGCAAAGACTATTAAAGGTCCATGTATGAATTATAGATCATCTTTCAAGATGCTCCTAAGAGTCTTCTAAGGAGAGAAAATGAGTTATTATGGCCAAATTCACATGGAAAGAAAGGCTAATTAATTTAGTTTCCAACTAAATCTAATGAGAACATAATTAAGTTTCCTTGTGATCATGCCTCTAATAAATTAAATTAGTAAATGTATAGTTAAGAGGTCAAGCACATACTTGGGAGGATTTTTCTTGTCAAAACCAAACTCACATGATGAGTCCTCCATGAGATTGATTTTCAATTCTATTTAGGCTCCAGTTTCTTTTATTGTGTCTGTAGATAGAAATATGCTCTTGTTTAGCGCTATATTTAAAGAATGTGCTCATATAAAATATTACATGTTTTACCAAGGCGATTGTAAATATGTGTGGATGTAAATTGGAAAGGTTGCATATTATACATTCCTATAAAATATTTCAATCTAAAACATATCCTTACATATATGTCCATCAACTTGAAAGTATGATCAAGTACAGGCAAGAAGGTCTTGTACAAAATTAATTTTTAATAGAAATAAGAATTGGAATATTATATTTAAGTAGACATCTACCTTTGATATTATATTAAATGATAAACTGAACCTGAACCGGCTTCTTAAAAACTTAAGTTGATAAGAAATAATGCAATTAAGTATTTATACTGTAAGAAAGTTAATCCAAGAAAGTTATTATTATTAAAAAAAATAAATTAATTAATTATTAAACTAAAAACTTTTTATTTTGTGAACAACATATGAAATACACATTAATGAAATAATACAACAGTTTTTTTATGCAGAAATTTCAGTGGAAAGTAACTAAAATTTATGGTTACAAAGGAAAATTAAGGATGAATTAATTTTATTCTGATCTCTCTAATATGAATATATTCCCTTTGTCATCCCTTCCGATCCTCATGGTATCGTCCACGTATCTAACATACCCAGTTTAAGGAACTCATACTATTTATTTTAAGGGAAACCTATATAAATAAATACATAAATAAATTAGTGTTTTTAAAAAAGAAAAAGAATAATAGGATACGATATCTCCAGCCACCCATCTGGGTTGAAGATGCCAAGAAGGAGATCATAATTTTTCTTGAACATGTTCATTAGCTGTTGTTTTGCAAACCCATATAATCAAATTATTTTGTGCATGTCAAAATTATATTAATATTACATAAATATATATATATATATATGTATATATTAGACTTGATTGAGTATTTGTGGTGTACCTGCTCCGGAGTGATAGTTGATTTCTCGTAATTTATGTCCACTCTCTGTAGAATAATTAGTTGATTGTTTATTTATTATTAAAGTGATCAGATGGAGAAAAAAAGAGAAAAAATATTTAAGTAAGAAAAACTTTAACTGATTTGGATGCAGGCTTGAAGGAGGCTTCAATTGTGAGTTGACCATTTAACAAGTTCAACCCCCTAACATTGAACTTGATCACGTTGACTGCTTTTCCCTCCATATTTTTTAGCAATGACAAATTTATAAGTTAATTTATAAACCAAAAATAAAAAATTTAAACATAAAAATAGTTTTTCTTTTTAAATATATGCATATGTTTATTAACAAAAATACATAGAAGTTCAAAATTTGTCTTTGAAAAAACGCTAAAACAACAGTTTAAAAATCACGTTTTCAATGTCATTCTCTTTATTAGCAAATAACTTATCTAAATTTATAAATAAACACATAAATCTTAAAAATCTATAGTATATTTAGTGATATATCATGTGAGATATGTACCTGAGCAACATCAATGTTCTGCAGAAAATCTCCTAAAGTGATGAAATCTCTCAATCCCAGTTTTGTTCTCTTAGATCCCAATATTGTAATTGTACTATAAACCAGCTTCCACCAACCACTTACCTTCCATTTTTACAAACATAACAACTATTTACAATACAGACAAAAAAGAAATTACCCATTCAAATGAACAATTGTATTGGTAGCACATATTATACCTCACAATGTATGCATATCTCAAAGGTTTGATACTAATGAATAGTTATATTGCACCTTGTGTAGATTGAGAGTAGGATGTGGAGTTGGGTTTTGAGACTCTAAAAGCTGCACCAGACGTTCAATCTCAGATTTCCTTGCAGATGGCACTCCATATATCCCTCTGTTCATCCCTTAATTAGAAACAAAACCAACATATGTCATTCTCCATCTTCATTTATCTAAACAAGGTTTTATACGCAAAGCACACATTTATATATATATATATATATATATACCTTTGACTGCCTGGTAAAGCTGTGTTTTGACCTTGGTCCTTGTTGCATCATCCTCAAATAAGCCTGAGTTTTGTTCTGCAACTCTGGAGATAATATAACTGGGTCTAAAGCCAAGAGCTGAGTCCTCATATCTTGTAAGCCTGGTAAAAAACTGTATGATTCTGTGATCAGTTTTTATCAGTTTTGTGAATCTGGGTGTTGGAAGAATAGGTGGGTTTACAAGTTTAGTGGCCATCAATCCTATCAGAACAACAGTCTTTTTCTGCCTTGTGTTTGAGTTTTATTTATTTATTTATTTACTTATTTATTTTTATTATTATTCAGTGTAATTCACTAATAAATTGATATAAGTCGGTCAGGATGAGTTTATTATACATGTGGCTGAGAGTTTCCAGGAAACAGAGATAAAGGATAATGCAACCCTAGCTATATAAAAAAAGGACAATATTTTTTATATTAAATAAAAGTACAAATTATTTCTTCTCCTACTACGAATATTTTAATATAAATCTGAAAATTAAATAAAAAAAGAAATTTTTTGTTTCGTTCATTTTTTTAATGAAACTAAAAAATTATTCACTTTATCTGTGAAGTACAACTCTCAATAATAGACATTAAAATAGAAAGAATCTATTTTTATTTTCGGAATAAATTCTAAATATTAAATAAAAATATTATATTTTTAGAATTCTCTTTTACTTATTCAAATAATATATAAAAAAATTTAGTATTTTTATAAAAAATTTAGCATAAGAATCACATTTTAAAATAATTTTTAAATTGATAAATTAAATAAAATAATTTAGGACTGGTTACAATATAAATAGTTCAGGAATAAATCAATAATTTAAAGTTTTCTTTTAGAAAAGAAAAAGAACAAATATTGGGAATCAACCATGGCTGATGTAGGATTGTTTAATTTGTACACAGTGCATAAAATATAACCATATTTATTATTAATAAAATTATTATTTATTAAATCCACAGCTAGATTTTTCCTGAATCACTTCTCCAAAGCTTCAAAATCCAAACGAAACCAAGAATCGATTGAGAGGGATTACCAGCACAAAAGATGCCGAGGAGCTTTTCGCCGGAGATACCTTGCAGTGATTGCCTCAGAGGACAAAAATCAGAGCCTCCTAATTATAGCGAGTGTTGAAGGAGAGCGAAGGAGATGAGTTGCAATGCCCGGTGAAGAGCGAGTGGAAACGTAATCTAATGAAAGCCGTCAGACAGCTCTTGTAACGACCCGCAT